CATGATTTTAATTTGGGGATTTATAAAATTGAAATGAATTTTTATTTTTTCAAGTAATTTTAATTATATATGGGTGTTTATTTAATTAAATTAAATTTTGAAAGGGTTTATTTATTAAAAATATTAATATTTAATAATAAATTAATTTTTTTGGAAATTATAAAATTTAATTGTAATATTGATTATTGTAAATTAAAATTAGAATCTTAATGAATGTAAATTGAAATTTCATCTTGGTTAATTATTATATTTGACAAAAAATTTTGAACTTCAAAAACAAAATGTTGTAAAAAATAAAAATATATATGCTATGTTTAATATTTTTCAAAAGTTTAAGAGGCAGCTTGTTAACAGTTAGAAAGAATTTCATTAGTCAATTAAGGGAATGTTTATAAAGTAGACCATTTTAAAACAAAATTGATAATTTATAAATAATTTTAAAAAAAATTATTTTAAAATTAAATTAAAATAAATCACATAATTAATAAATTATTTATTGAATTTAGCCATTTATATTGTTAGCAGGTGCATGTATGTCTATATTTTTAATCCATGTGATAAATTAAGTTATTTAAATTTAAAATTGTCAACACTTAATTAACCAATCATATTGTTTTTTTTGGTTTCCCATCCGGTATCCGGGGCTTCGCCCTGACTACTCCGAACTCGACCAGCTGTGGCGCACCAGAATGGTAGGTGGGGTCTCTCAACTAAGGCTGCTGCGTACACAAGTTTTCGAACTCGAGACCTTACTTAAACTGAAACAAGCCGCTTGCCACTTAATCCAACCATTCGTTGATTAACCAATCATATTGTTAGTGTTAACAAGGAGGGAAAAAAAAGGAGCGGCAAGTATTGCTCTTAAAAAATGCATACTCCCCTTGCTATATTGCTTATATTTTCTGTGGGTTTTTTCGTTGGAGGTTAACTGTAGGAACGGAAATCAGCGTAAAGAATGACGACTCAGCTCCTAAGAAGGACGAGCATGTTCCTCTCCTCTACTTTCTCTGCTTCTCCCACTCCGATCCAGGCCACTCTCTTTCCCGGCGATGGCATCGGCTCTGAGATTGCTGAGTCCGTTAAAACAGTCCTGTGTTGATTTTTTTTTTTTTTCTCAATAAGCAAAATAATGATGGGCTGTGGGTTGATTTCTAACTGAAATTGGCTATTTTTTATTTTTAAAAAATAAAGAATCATATCAACTATCTAAATAATAATTATTTTAATAATCGTTAATTAAATAAAAACTTTTTTTTACAATTAAATTAAATTAATATTTTTAAATATAGCATTAATAAATTTGTGTAGCCACAAATACAATAAATTACCAGTGTAAGCCATAATTAACCATTTCTATGTAATAGAGTTCA